TTTCAGGGAACTGTGTTTGGGGTATGACTAAAAGGAACAGCGTGCACCCTAGATAACATGTCTATTTAAGCCTCTTTGATGACTTCCCATCACACTCAGATAAAATACTAACTGTTTGCCTGCTAGGACTTACAGCTCCAAGTGAGCCACAAGACCCTTTCTTTTCCCACACACCTCTAAGCCCTCTCCCCTGCTTCAATCCCCAGCTCCCTTAGGCTTTTCACACCTCAGGGCCTTGGCATTTGACAGTCCTGTTGAGATTGCTCACTGCCCAAGTCTACAGTAGGATCACACCTTTCTAGAGAGTTCTTCCTGAGCACTGACCTACTCTTTGTACCTTTCTCTGGAGTCCCATCAGATGCTCTGAGCTGATCTTTGTGCTGGCCTTTGCCCAGGCAGCAGCCCTCTTTGCACTGTGGGCTGATCCGTCTTCAGCACTTGGAAAGCGTAGGTAGGTAGGTACGTGTCTGTTCAACCAATGCTGCCGAGGAAGTGTAGAGTAAGCCCTAGTCTGCCATGGGGTTGGAGTGGTCAGTTTCACAAAACGACTGATGCTCGCCTTCCTTGGGAAATAATCTTGTTAATCACACAGGATGTAGCTAAGGCTGATGGATCTAATTCAAGAATCCAGCTGCTTAATATGTTCTTTGGTTTGTTGCTTCCAAAACACTACAGCAGTTGCCTGAAGAGATAATATTTTAAATCTGGAGTAGTTAAGGGCCCTGGAATGCCCAGGAGTGTCTAGAATGCAAACACAGGGGTGACTAGAGTATCTCCAGGCTAGAATTTATAGCTTTGTTTTCCAAAGTTGGGGCAATTTATAAAGAAGGAACATTATTGCTCCTTTAGTCATCTTTACTTCTTTTCCCTATCAGAGCCTTATTTTTTCTAAAAGGAAAAGAACGCTCACTACCACATATTAAATATTTATGACCTCCAGGCATTCAACATACATTGGGCACATTGCGAGGTGGAGGTAACTACCAGTTTCACAGCTGAGGACAGTGAGGTGAAGGAAGTTGTTCTGAGAGGATTAAAACCTCAGTTGATTTAATTTTCACATCAGTAGAGTTGGAGTCAAAGCCTGCCAGATAGGCATGCATATGTGCACCCACATGCATGTGTGCGTGCACACACACACACACACACACACACACACACATACATCCAGGTAAAAGCCTTGGGTTAAACACTGTGCAGGTTCCTTGAGCCTTCACAGGAGTCGCATGGGACAGGTGTTATCTTTCTATCCAGGTATAGCCAGGAAGGCTCAGGGAGGTTTAGCGACTTGCCAGGGGCCAAGAACTAGTAAGGGGGATGTACTCAGTAGGGTTTCAGCTGATGTGGGTGCAGCTGAGAGAAAACTGCAGAAAGTGCAAGAGGAGGGGCTGGGGATTTAGCTCAGTGGCAAAAGCGCCTGCCTGGCAAGTGCAAGGTCGTGAGTTCGGTTCCCGGTACCGGAGAAAAACCAAAAAAAAAAAGAAAGTGCAAGAGGCAGGTCTCTAGTCTAATTGGTCACTTACGGGTTCTGGAACAGGTATAAAGTCCCATCACTCCCCTGGACTTCTGTTCTTTGTAAAATGAAGGAGACGAGATCATCTTCCGTGGTCTGTGATTGTCTGAATCAGAATCTTAAGCATGCCTCTTAGTCTGCGGATTTTGGTTTCTTTGTCTCCCCACCCCCATCCAGCATGCTTCCTGTTTCCTCATAGATGCTTTCTCCTCTCCCCTCAGTTTCAGAGACAGAAATCTCATCTATAGTCCAGCAGGCCACAGAAAACCTCACTGATATTCTGTGATTAAATAGCAGTTGTTTTAAGGAAGCAATAATTTATTGCGTATTGTTCGCTAGCTCATGCCAGGAAATCTAATATATGCTAACAGAAGCGGGGTACAAGACAGATGGCTGGGAATGCAGCACGCACGCATATATTTTAAGTGTGTAGACTTGAGCCAGAAATAGAATGAAAGGTGTGACAGCTCCAGGGCAGAGAAAGAGAGAGAAATGGAGGGAGAGAAAAACAGAGACAGACAAACAGGGAAATTCATCTTATCTTGTGGGGAAGAAAAGAGAAAATTGCCGACAATCAAAGCCTCCCTTCCTGGGCTCTGTTTGCTGATTCCAGTGTCTACTCCGTGGGTGGCCGCGTAGTCACCGTAGCAGAGGGAAGCCGTCTGCACAGGATGTTGCCAAGAGCGTGCTCTGATGGCTGAGAACACAGGGACGCTCCTAGCCCTAGGGTTCACCAGGGCTGTTCACACATGAGTAATCCTAATGGCCCACTACTCTGGAGAAGGACCTGCATCATCGAGGAGATTGCTGTAGGTCACTGATCAGATAAGAATCAATGGCGTGTTTCTTACCAAAAGTAGAAGATGCCAGTGCCCCTGCCTTGGACCATGACACATTTGCCTCTATGCACATGGGCACATGGCAGAGGAATCAGTGGTTCTGAGTTTGTCTTCTCCAGAAATGATAGAACCTGAGCCAGACAGGCCCTCAGGGCTCCCTGAGCCAAGGGTCCAAACCAACCTAAATTGAGCAGGCTTGATGCATTTCCAGAGCTCTGGCTGTGAGATGGAGAGGGCTCTGGAGGCACAGACCCACATTTCTCTCCAACTCACAGGAGCCTAGGACTCAGGCTCCTTGGAAGAATCAGTTGTCAGCCACACCTACCTCCCTACTCCCATTTTACAGATAGTAAAACTGAGCCCCACTGAACATGAAAGCTAGAGCAGGAAAGACTTGTTCCCCATCATCAAATGAGGTGGCTGAGTCACCTTTGTGCTTTAGCAGGATGTCTGAGCACCTGCCCTATCGTTACCTGTGCCAGGAACCTGAGGCTCTAAAGAGAGAGCGAGAGAGAGAGAGAGAGAGAGAGAGAGAGAGAGAGAGAGAGAGAGATCTCAGTGGACTCAGAGGCACCTTGAAAGGGTCTGTTTTGTGGGAGGTTCCCTGGAGCATCACAGTGAACCCCATCTGAAGATCTCTGGAGGGACAAGAGGAATGATCACTCAGAAACAAAAGAGGCCAGTCTGGCTACAGGAGCCAGAGGATGTGATTGGAGTCTGTCAAGGATGGCTCTCTGCAGAGGCCCAGTTCCATGCCAGCCAGCGGGTCCTCATACTCAGGAGATCTCTAGCAGGGCTCTGCTGCTTTGAGTGGGAGGTGGTGTCATGAGTTGAGCTGCATCCTCTCCAAATCATGCGTTGGAGTCCTAACCCCAATACCACAGAATGCTACCTTGTTCAGAGCAAGAGTCCCTCCTCATGAAGTAATTAAATCTAATTAAGGTCATGAGGGTGAGACCTAGTGCAGTGTGACTGATGTCCCTACAGAAGGGGAAAATTCAAGCCAAAGACAGACACGTAGAAAGGAAGATGTGGAGAGTCACTGGGAGAAGCCACCATCCACAACCTGAGGGTGTCCAAGGCTGCAGCAGCAGCGGACAGGCCTGGACCCACTCCTACTTCAGAAGAGCTGGCCCAGCCCACACTTTGCTTTCACTCTTCCAGCCTCCATAGCTGAGGCAATCCATTTCTGGAGCTCTCAGCCACTGACCCAGGTGGGGACCTGGCAACCCTCATTCAGCAGGAACCACAGGAATACTTTTGCTGTCTTATGCTTACTCTGATGTGTGGATGTGTTTCTTATTCTTTTGCCACTGTAAACTTTAGGGACCAAAGTTACGGGCATATTTTTGGAAGAGAATGATTTTTGAGATAGGACATCTATCTCAAATATCTCAATATTTTGAGATAGGACATCGATACATCGCCCAGGCTGGGCTTGAATTTGTGATCCCACTGCCTCACTGCCCAGAATGCTGGGATTGAGTGTGTATCACCATGCTCAGATGGGTGTGGGCTTCTCCAGGCTCCTGAGGAACTGACTCTGCTGCAGGAGCTTTATATCTTGCTTGCAAATGGAAGAATGCAGAGACATGACAAGGGACCCAGGGCAGAGGGTGAGAATCTGAGTGCCTGGCACTGGGAGGCACGGCTAAGTCCAATTCCAGGAACAAGCTCTCTATCGGCTCCCCAGATGTGGTGGCTACAGCCCACGGGTGACAAGATTCCTTTCCCTCCACCCACACCCTACAGCCATCTCATTCCCATACTCCACCAGCTCTCACCAGAACCCGGGTCCACGCTGCGGGTGCCCTAACAAGCCTGAATCACTTGCCGGCCTCTGGGAGGTGAAATCAGACGGTGCTGTTCAGGGAGCATGGGTCATAAGGGAAAGAGAGTTTGGAGGCTTACAGAAGCCATGGCGGGCTGCTGCTCTGTCACTCGCTGGCTGCTTGTCCCTGCAGTCACATGGAACTCCATAGAACTCAGCTCTTTGCAGCGATCTGAACGTCCCCCCTTCACAAGACTCATGCTGGAGATGAATCCTCATTGTGATGTTACTGAGAAGCAGCAGGTTTGAGGAGGGGCTGACCAGTGGCTTCATGAGGATCAGCAAAGGAATCTGAGATCTGAACTGCAACACCGGCCCTGTGCCCCGAGACAGAGAGCAGAAGGCCTGCATGGGCCTCCCAGGGGAGAGAGGAGGAGACCTAGGACTCTGACACCCACCATTTCTTTTGGTTGCAAGAAAACCTCACACATTGGAAAATCATTTTCTGAAGGCAAGTGCTTTGTTTCTAGAGGTGCAACATGCAGGATTCATGCCCAAAGCCCAGTTAATCAGTCAGTAATGAATAACCAATGCCACCGTTCCAAAGCACTCATCACTTACAAAGCTTCCACATCCCTTATTTTACTTTCCCTGTCTATAGAACCGAGAGAGATAAAGTAGTTCTTTCTACTATTCCCATTTTTCAACAGTGAAACTGAGGTGTAGCCACGTTAGTGGAGCACCCATGCCACTGATCCAAGATTTGTCCCTCAGTCCCCCTCTTCTCTCCGACTCCCTCTGGCTCGCAGCAGTGACAGGGACCCCTGCCAGGCCACTTTCTTTGCCTGTTCCCCCTACGGCCACACAGCTCCCTTACCTGCCATGGCCGTAGCTTTCCGGGGCATGGTACATGAAGACATTTCCTAGGGCCCTCTTTGCCCAGCGTCTGGCCATGTTGATCGTGGGGCATGTGATGAAGTAGTCCCTGGGGAGAGGACAGAGGAGGGAGCTTGGTGACACACAGGTGCATGAACAGCCAGGCCAGGCAAGAGCTTCTCCTAAGCAAGGGCCCCATGGGTCCCTATCCCCCAGGCTCCTCTGCCCCAGCTGCAGAGGACGCCGTTTTCCACTTCCAGCCCCTTATCTGAGTGGCTTTGCTGCCACCACGGTGGAAGAGCTGAGGCACAGCACATCATCTGCTCTGGCTTATGGTACACAGTGAACCATCCATGGTGAGGACAAGACAGCCATGGGATGAAGCCCTTCCTAGAATGTCTACTGACCATGCCCTGTTACAGTAACACAGTAAGGATGCTGTGGCACAGGACATAAAATAACCTTAAATTTAAAACTTTAAGTTTTAAAAGAAGACAAAATCCTCAAAGATATTTTATGCATATGATACCTTTAATCCTGTAGCTCTCGACTAGAGGTGAATTTGCCCAGGGAACTTTTGGCAAATCCTGGAGACCTTTTCTGATTGTTACAACAGGGGGTAGAAAGTTTCTACTGGGGTCTGGTGTATAGAGGCCAGGATGCTGCTTTATACCCTACACAGCACAGGACAGCCCTCCCACCCGGAATCACCCAGTCCAAAACGACGGCAGGGAGAAGCTGGAGAGTCCCAGCCTTCGACTTCCCCAGTTCCCTCTTAGCTTCTCCTGGGGGGTATGTGAATGAATTCCAGAAGTGGCAGTTCACAGCAGTGAATCCTGGAGGGGAGGCAGGGCCTAAAGAGACAGGCAGGCTGGGCAGGAGCAGGCAGGTTCTAGCTGCCTATGACCCTAGACTTTGAATGCCATGAGGCCTGCTGGGTAAGAGGAGATGCTCTGCAGTCCCTTCATCTCTTTGATCTTCATCTTCCCAGCTGAGAAATGGGGCCAGGGCCTAGAATGCAGGGACTTTGCAAGGATCAAAGCTAAGAACACCATGGAAGCCCCTCAATAAAGGAGGCTGTTCCCTTTCCTGGTCTCAGAGATGGTAACAACTGATGAGTCTCAGAGCACTGAATGCTTTAGTGAGGTCCCAAGCTGATCAGCCTGGAAGGACAGCAGCCCCACTTCCTGGTAAGCAGGACAGGGTGGATCAGACCCGTCAGCACAAGCCACACTGGCAGCCTAGGGGAGGTCCAATACCAGGAGACTGGAGGTAGGGCAGCCTGCAGGAGGCTGCTGCCCAAGTTATCCAGGACAGCGTGAAGGCCAGAGCCACAGCAGGACAAGGCAGGAGGGTTAAGCCACCTCAGTGACACCTCCCTCCACCACACTGCCTTCTTCGGGCCTCGGCTTTTACCCCAGGCACAGGCTGATTTTCAATCCAGACAAAGACACCAATGAAGCAAGAACTTGGTTAGCTGAACTCTGGCCCTAAGGTCTTCCTACAGTCAGATCAGAGCCAGTCTGGACTTGATGGTGAGCCTCTCCAGATCAGGGACTGGGCATCTCTGAGTTCTCATGGTCCAGCCCAGGGCTGGGCCTCCAGAAATAGCTTCTGGCTGCTTGGTTCAGACCTAACTCTCCACTAGAGGGAAAATCAAAGGCTTTCTGGGCCCCAAGAACTATGTGGGTGGCAGAGTTTTATTCTGAGCTAGTGACCCTCGGCTCGGAACCACAGCCTCCTGGGTGATGAGGCCACGAAGCAGCAGGCCTCTGGCATCCTCTTGCTCACCCTTCTCAGCAGAGCCCAGGTCAGCAACAGAATCTGAGATCTGAGCATCACCTTGACCCTGTGCCCCGAGACAAGAGCAGGAGGCCTGCATGGCCCTCTGGGGGGAAAAACAAGACCCCTAGGACATTGACCCCCGCAGACCCCTTCACTACCAGTTGGAGGTGAGTCCTGCAAGGGGAACTGAACACACTTTGGGGTCCACCAAGAGCCAAATCCCCACTGAGATCTCTTCCCCAGGGCTCGGAAGGAAGGAAGGAAAGAAAAGAAGGAAGGAAGGAAGAGAGGGAGGGAGGGCTGCAACCTGCTTGCTTCTTGTTCTAGTTGAAATTGAAGCTTTGCTCATCCATGTGCTCTCACTGAACACGAGGCCCCGCCCCCCATGAGCTCCCAATGCGCTGGGCAAGGGAGATAAGCCTGACACAAGCAGCGCCGTGTGAGGCTTGTGTACTGGGAACAGCAGAGACTGGGGTTGGGCGCAGCCTTTAACTGTCACAGGGTGAGGTCAGGGCAGGGTCTCCAAGTGAGAGAAGGCTGAGCAATGAAGAGGGCGCAAGACCCATAGAGCAGCAGGTACAAGAAGCAGCACCCTATGATGAAATGATCTGCGTGGCCACCCAGAGCCGCAGCTCCTCCTACTTGAGTTGTGACATTGATTAGAAGACCTCCCCAATGAGACCCCTAGCTTCTATGTGCAAGGTGGGCTCTGGCTGCAGTAAATTCAGCTGTAGATCTCATGGCACGTAGCTGCCTCGGGGCCTGTGTGTCCCCTCCTGGTGGGGCTGAGGGACAGGCAGAGGGTGGGTGCTGGCAGGGTGAGCAAGAGGCCACGGCTGGTTCTCTGTGGTGAGTGCTGGCCTGGAAACTGCTGCCTCGAGCAGCAGCCCATGGCCGCCTGTAGTAGGCACTGTGTCTGCCCTCCATGGCTCCCACATGCCTGGGAAAGAGCTGGGGCCCCATTTCTCTACTGGCCAGTGTCCCCAGCAGTGACAGCACCCATACCACCCCAGGACTGCCATCGGCAGTGCCACCCTGTGCTGTGGATGGAGTGAAGGTGAGAGGACACCACAAGGTCAAAGCCGGAGGCCCTCAGCCTCTTTCACCATTGAACATTGTCTCTGGCCCACCACCCCGGGCCGGCTCACCGGGTGGCGTTCTCCAGCGCCCGGGAGAAGGAGGCATAGTCGTCTGCAGAGTGCTCCAGGGAATAGTACCATGTGGCTGCAGCCAGGACACTGGCATCCGAGTCCTCGCCACCAAGGGAATTCTGCAGCGCCTGGTAGAAGGCTGTTTTGCTCTCAGTCCGGCCTTGACTTTCTTCAAATCTCTAAAAACACAAAATCATGAAAAGTTCAACTCGAGAACTGGTCTAGGATTTTCGCTCTGAGAAGTAGTAGAACATAGCATCAAGCTCCAGGGTGTTGGAACCAGACGGCTTGGACTTGAACCCCTGCTCTGCCTTGTTCTTGCTGTATGACCTGAGATGCAATGGCTGTTCCCCTCTGTGCCTTCCAGAGCCCGTGTGGGAACAAAGGCATCTTCACAGAAGGTCGTGAGAAGGGCCATGGGAAAATCCACTTGAGTCACCTAATGTGGTCAGTGCTAGCCATCACTGCCACTTATTAGTAGACCATACACCTGGTCTCACTGTCTCTACCTGGGCTGCTCTGACCAGCTCCTGTGTGTCTATGGTCTGGGTGGGCCCAGCTCAATTCAGCTACATCAAACGACTTGGTCATTCAAATGATGAATGTGCCATTGTATGTGGAACACTCCCTCTAGGCTGACTGTGCCAGGCTGGGAGAAAGACCACAAGCATGCTGGCCTAGCTCTGACTCTTCTCCTGGGCATGTGGTCCAGTGGAATGGGTGGCTGAACACACAGCTCACCAGGGACAGGTTCTGGAGGACTTCTGAGGCAGAGTGAGAGGCTGGGAGAGGCTGGGCTGGGTATTTTACACTGGCCAGTCAGGAAAGACATTTGGCCAAGGCGGGGTGCATACTGGAGAGGAGCAACGTGTGCTCTATCTCTGTGTCTCTCTTCTCATTCTGCTCTCCCTCCTTCGCTCCCTGCTTCTTTATCCTGGCCTTGCTGTTATCCCCACTGTGGGGTGTAGGATAGATCATTTCCTTGCTCCAGGACTCAGTTGTCTTGATTCTGCAGACAAGGGCCAGCAAAACGTGAGGGATGCAGCTCCAGGGAGAGCTCCGCAGACCTTGGGACCCTGGCCAGGCCTGTGATCTGTGTTTACATCTGTCTAGGCTCTGTGTAAACTGTGGCCCCACTTATCAGCACTCCTGACATGTTTATACCGCCTGTCTAAACATTTCAAGCGCACGGGATTAGAAGTCAAGGGGCAGCACTCTCCTCCCTCCTGTGAGGACATCTGTCCTGTCGCTGGGCTAACCGAGCGCGGCTTGTGCCCAGGAGTGGACTGACTGGTCAGAGGCACATCTGCCCCACAGGGGAACAGGGAACAGAGGCAGGGAGCTGGGTGCAGAGGGCGGGGCTCCTTCACCCTATCACATCACATTCCTTGGAATGAAGTCAGAAGCAGATATGGAAGCATATTAATTTGTGTTTAGTCTGAATAGTGAATTCATGAGCAGCTTCTTGATATTACTGACCGTGATCACATCACACACCATTAAAGAAGGAGATTATATGCGTACAGAACATACATATGCAGGCCCAGCCACGTGCACGCACACACACACACACACACACACACACACCACAAATATGCACACATACTCTCTCATGGACCCAGAATAGCCTTTATGAATGATGTTCCCAGCTCTTTCTCTTAGCAGATATACACAGCAGACAGTTTCCACTTCTGTCTGGGCTGGGCCAGTCTTGTCCAAATGCATCATTCTGAATCTATTGCTGATGCCACAGCTTCTAATGGTGTAGGGGAAGCTGCATATACTACTTTCTGTTTGGAATATTTCATGAGGAACATGATATTAGTCACCATTTTCACACCTCCTCTTATTTACAGCTTTACACTATATATTTCCCTTGTGCTTCCCAGAAGCATCTGCACAGCTGTGTGACCTGGGTGATGTCACCTGGTAAAGGTCATACAGGTGCACAGGTGAACAGGTGGGCTAGGATGAAGCCCAGGTCTTACTGCTGGGAGTATCATGCCCCATCCCCTGCTCTAACTTACCCACTTGATCCTGAGGGTAAGGATCCTGAGCATAAGGATCAGGCCCAGCACACAGAGGGTAGGAAGTCTGTCCACAGGGTCCTGGGCTCAATGCAGTGCAGAAGGTACTGGTATTAGAGTCCACATTAGTGTCAAGTGCCAGCTGCCAGGCCTGGGGGAACTCGGGAGAGACATTTCTACCTTTCTCAGAGGCTTGCATCTTTACAATGGGCTTCCTAACACCAACCCAGCACTGTCTTTACCTGCCATGAGGATTAAGGGAACAGGCAGTCCCAGGCAAGTGTTCTGCTGCACGTCAAGGCCATTTGCTTGTGATGTGGACTAGGAGGGGCGGTGGGTATCCGTGCCAGGACATTTCCCAGCTGTATGCCTCTGCGAAAGTCACTTACCCCTTCTGATCCTTGGATTTCTCAAGGGCAAACTGGAGTTAAAGTCTGCTTCTCAGTGTTGTCTTGGGAATTAGATGTGATATTTTCAAGCCCTGAGCTCAAAGTCTGGCAGACAGCACTTAATGAAAGAGATCTGTTTGTACTAATCCTGGGTTTTCATTGGCTTCAGTTAGTGAAGGGAAAAAAGGAGGAGCCCAAGGCCCAAACACTTTGCTGCATGGGGAAATAGCCCAAGATGCTACGTGTGTTTGTCTTGATGGGAGAAAGCGCCTCCTTCTTGCTTTTATTTCTATTTTCATGTCTTCCTATGAATACTATGAATGTTTAAAAGATGGCGCAGGAAAATATGATGCTAAGTTGCTGCAGGGGCTTCTCTGCATCCTCAGCTGTGAGACATAAGCAGGAGAGAGGCCAGAAGGGGTGCAGCAAGAGGGGTCAGGCCCAAGGGACATTTATGCCCCCTTCTGTTTGGGGTACTGGGGATTGAATCCAGGGCCATCCCACTGAGTTCTATTCCCAGTTATTTATTTTGAGACAGGGTCTCACTAAGTCACATAAGCTGGGCTTGAACTTTCAATCTTCCTGCCTCAGCCTTCTGCAGTGCTGGGATTACAGGTGAACATCACCACAGCTGGCTCCACAGGTGTTTCATGATGAATAGCCCAGGACTGGGCAGAAGTGGGTATAGGGGAGGAGTTCAGGTCTGTGTTCCCGGGGAGGGTATTCAGCACTCAGCTGGGTCCCTCTAGGCTGAGGCCAGCTGGGCATCACCTCCCCAAAAGTGAAGTGACAGAGCCCTGGGAATGTGGGCCCAGTCCCTGAGGGCACAGGTAAGTGACAGGACACATTTTAAACAAACTCCACCGCACACATCTCCTCATCCTTGGCACAGTGCTGAGATAGGTGCTTCTGCTGGTTTAATTAGAGCTCCGGGCTTTGGCCACTTCCACAAATGCTCATCATAGGTAAGAGCTGCCCTAGACAGTGGATCTGTTTCCGGCAGGTTGTGTTAAGGGATTATCAACAATGGGCAGGTCCTCCGTGTGTGATTTTAAAGGGCTGCCATTGGCAGTCAGGGAGTCAGGCCTCTGGGAAGCACTGAGAGATGCCTAGGGCTTTGGGGTCATCCTGAATGCCTTGCTATCAAGTGAGGCACTTGGTCTTTAAGAGACACAATTCAAATCCAGCTCAGGGTATGGTCTCAGAGCATTCATCTGCAATGAGTAAACACATTCAATGAAGATGCCCCTCTGTGCTTCGGTTCCCGCTGGGCAGGGAAGAAGCGGGCCCTGACAAGTGGGTGAGGGTGCCCCATGCCCATCAGGTGGGCAGCATGGAGGGCAGCAGAGCCCAGGTGAGAGGCGAGGGTTGGCTGTGTGCATGCAGAGTCACATGGGCGAGGGCAGAGGAGCAGGAGGTGACACCAGGGGGTTGGAGGCTGGGCTGCTGGGAGCTTGGTATTGCTCTTTGCATCTAGAGAAGAGCTTGTCCATTGGTCTGCAGCTATGAGCCAACAGGGACTAGGTACACAGAGCAGGGAGCAGGCCCGCAGGCACCAGCAAGGAGCCAGTGGGTTCCCACCTGTACTGTCCAGGATTCAGCTCATACTGACGCCTCCTGGACGTCTCCCTAGGTCTGCACTGGCCTCTTCTCAGGGAAATGGCTATCCTGAGCCCTTCCCTCTCTTAGACCAAGGACCCTTTCACTCGAAGGTTCAGGCCTGCTGCCTTGTGCTCAGGGGACCTTTGCTGCACAAACAGCCACTCACTTCTGCAGACTTTCCTCTGTAGCTCCCCATGATCCCAGCCCACCTGGATCTCAGAGGCTCCTGCCAGTTCCCACAGAAGGGTCCCCTGTCTGCCTCTCTGCCCGTCCCCCAGGCCTGCACTCAGTGGACGCGTCTTCTCCCCTCCCCACTTCAGACACCCTCCCCCCCCCAAGCTCACCAGAGGCCCCAGAGGACTCTGCCGCTGCTTTCCACCCCTCCCCTTGGCTCCTCTCACTTAGGCAGCTGTCTCTCAAGCTCATTTCTGGAACTCCCTCTGCTACCTCTGCCTATTTTTGAATTCTGAGACCCCCTAGCTGTTATCCCTGCCTCCTTTCCTCCCTGTCTAACCATACACACTTGGGGATGGGGTCATTTCTGCTTTTTGCTTCCACAATCACCTAAGCAATAGAGTTCTAAACCTCCCTGCCCCAGATCCTCAGATGTCCTAGCCAAACACCCTCCTTCTTCAGAAGTGGCTTAGTGGAACCCACAGACACACAGGCCAGCATCCCATCTCCACAAGCTCACCGTGATGAGATGGAGGGTCACCTCTTGTTCTGACTCTCAGTGAGAGCGGCACCCAGCCTCTTACACCCAAGCACACATCGCCCCAGGATTCTATCACGCTCTATCCCAGTGGTCCTCCTGAGCCTCTGCCTCCTCCTCTTGTCCTGTCCTAGCACAGACCTGTCATCGCCTGACCAGCTTGCTCCTTGCACTTCCACATCTGGATGTCCACATCTGTGCAATCTTGTCTTCTTTTGTTACCTGTCTTTAATCAGTATTTTACTCAGCTGCCAGAGTGCTCTTTTGGAGAAGGATAGTAGATGAATGACCTGGCTTAAATCCTGAGGCAGGTATTGGGATGCTGCTGCATGGGGCAGGCTTGGGAAGGAGCACTTTGTACGCAGACAGCTCTTGATCAATGGTTATTCATGCACTGGCTACTTTGGAAGTTCTACATAATGGTTATAACACCACAGGTTTGGAAAGGA